ATGCAAGGAACAACACCGCAATGCAATGCAAGGCAGAGCAATGCAAGCAATGCAAAACGATGCAAAGCAATGCAAAGAAAGACACATCAATGCAATGCAAGGCAAAACAATGCAGAGCGACCCAAAGCAACGCAAATCAATGCAAAGTCGCATAGCGCAATGCAACAGAATGCAACACAAAGTTATGCAGAGGAATGCAAAGCCACGAAACGCAAGGCACAGCAACGCAATGCAAATCGGCGCAAGGCACGGCACATCAACGCAATGCAAAGCAATGCAACGCAAGGCAAACCAATGCAAAGCAATGCACGACAAAGCAGTCCAATGCAAAGCAAGACGAAGTAATGCACAATGATGTCAAGCAGTGCAAAACCATGCGACGCTGAAAAACATGCTACGCAATGCGAAACAATGAAACACAAAGCAACGCAATGTAACGCAACTCAACGCAACACAATACAAGACAATGCAACGCACTGCAAAGCAATGCAATACACCGCAACGTGGTGCAAACCAGTGCAAAGCTATGCAAGGCACTGGAACGCACGGCAGCGCAAAGCATACCAAAGCGCGGCAATGCAACGCAATACAAATCAATGCAACGCATTGCAAACCAGTGCGCTGCAACGCAATGCAAAGCAATGCAAATCAAAGCAATGCAACGCAATGCAACGGACTGCAACGCACGACAACGCTGGGCAAGACAATGCAAAGCAATGCAAGGCAATGCAGTGCAAAGCAATACAACATAATGCGAAACAATGCAAAGCAATGCCATGCAACGTAACGCAAAGCAACACATAGCAAGGAACAGCAACGCAGTGCAAACCAATGCAAAGCAGGGCAAAGCAGGGCAAAGCAAGGCAAAGCAATGCACAGCAATGCAGCGCACTGCAAAGCAAAGCAATACAAAAGAAACCACTGCAAGGCATTGCACAGGAATGCAAAGCAACGCAAATCGATGCAAAGCTACATAAAGGAATGCAAAGCAATGCAAAGCAAGGTCATTCAAAGCAGCGCAACGCCATGAAACATAGGCGCAGCATCGAAATGCAAAGTATTGCAACGCAAGGGAATGCAAAGCAGTGCAAACCAACGCAATGCAGGGCAATGCAAAGCAATGCAAGACAATGCAAAGCAATGCAATGCACAGCAACGCAACGCACTGCTGAGCAATTCAAAGCTATGCGCTGAAAAGCAAAGCAATGCAAAGGAGCACACAGCAATGTAAAGCAATGCCAACCAATGCAAAGCAACGCAAAGGGGTGCACAGCAACGCAACGCAACGCAAAGCAGTGTCATGCAAAGCAACGCAAAGTAACGCAAAGCAACACAACGTAAAGCCAATCAACGCAATGAAAAGCAACGCAATGCAAAACAGCGTAAACCAAGGCAAAGCAACACAAAGCAATGCAATGCAGAGTAATATAAAGCAGGACAAGGCAACGCAATGCACAGCAACACAAACAAATCGATGTGGTGCAATCTAACGGCGGCGACGGGGCGGCGACAAGGCAACGACTGCGGCTACATAGCCGCCAGACCGGCACGCAGGCCCACTTCCTTTGAAAACCAAGAAGAACCCCTAAGTTCAAGCAATGTTCAGCGAAATCGGAAATCTAGAAAGGACATCCTTAGGAATCCTGTGGAGATCCAAAGGCAATCCTCGGAACACTCTTGATTGGTTCCTCAGGACATCCTTCGGAACTCCTGTGAAATCCTTGGCGTACTCGTCACATGGCAACCCAGGGGGAGCCAGAAAACTGACTCGTCACCCTCATATTCCTCCCCTTGAGCCTCATCATCATCATTATCATCATCATCCCCTCCTCCTCCTCCTCCTTCTGCTCAGACTCATCTTTTGTATGTTCACCCTACGCCCTCATCAAGCTCATCATCAACCTCATCAACCTTATCATCCACCTCCTTCTGTTCATCTTCGTCACAATAGTCATCATCATGTCCTCCCTGCTTCTCATGCTCATTCTGGTCATCCTCCTGCTCATCATCAATATCCTCATGATCTTGCCCCCTCCCTCTTGCGAACCCTCCCAGAAACATTCGGCTGAGACTCCATTCGGCGCACCCATCACGCACTTCGTGCTTCCTGGCCTCATATGCTTTCGGCTCATTCCTAAGATGGCTGAGAGGATCTCTCATTCGGTAGACCTCTCGCACCTCGTGCCCGACATCTCTCCAGAGGCTTCTGGCTGAGGCTCGATTCGGCACACCGCTCACGTGCATTGTGCCCGTGGCTTCCTGGATGCTTTGAGTTTGCCTCGCAATTCAGGATGGCCAGGCAGAAAGAAACCGAGTATTATGCCCCACTCGCGGCATGATAAGACATGCAACAACTTCTTCCACCTGGCCACCCAAGGGTGCGACGCAAAACAGAAATGATGCGATTCTTCTCGCACCGTGACAACCCCGGGGGGCGCAATAACAAAACCTCTGGGACATCACTTGTTGCACACGGCAGCACAGGCGGGCGGGACATATATTGTTCCATTCCACTCGTCACGTTGGAATGCAAAGAAGGTGGACAACATACCCTTCGATTATATTCGTTTCCTTGGAATTCGTCTGGTTAGCAACGGCCGCGAAGGCGACGATTGCGACGGGCGGGCTGATCCTAACGGGCGAATCGGGTTGGCGGGTCACGGGCGGGTCTGGCAGGCGGACCCTGACGGTCGGGTCGGGCGGGCGGACCCTGACGGGCGGGCGGGGCGATTCGGCTAGAATATCGGAAACAATGTGCAATCCATCCAGGGAGGCATCCACGGCGACGGCAACGAGGGCGACGCCCACGACAACGAGGGCGACGAAGACGGGGACGACGAAGACGACGCGGACGACGACGAAGACGGTGACGACGACGAGGGCGACGACTGCGACGACAGCCCTGATGGGCGGGTCGGTCGGGCGGACGCTGGCAGGCGGGGCGAGCGGGCGGGTCGGGTCGGGCGGACCCTGCAGGGAAGGTCGGGCGGGATCCCAACTGGCGGGGCGGAACCGACGGGCGGGCCGACGGGCGGGCCCTAACTGGCGGGCTGGGCGGGCGGACCCAAGCAGGCGGGCGGGCCTGGTCGGGCGTGGACGTGAAAGTAGTGTGCAAGTCATCCATCAGGACATCCACGAGGGCGACGACGACACAGACGACAACGACGACGAGGGCAGCGACAATGACGACGACGCCGACGAGTGCGACGAAGGGGACGAGGACGAGGACGAGCACGACGACGACGACGACGAAAGCGACCACGACGACGACGACGATGAGGGCGACGACGACGACGACGCTAACAAACCAGTGGGGCCCAGACACTAATGGGCAAATCGAGATAGCGGACCTTGGGCTAACGGGCGGGTCGGTCGGGCGGACTCTAACGGGCGGGCGGGTCGGGGCGGGCGGAATATTGACGTATGTAGTGTGCAGCCCATACAGCTGGACATTCACAAAGGCGATGACGAGGGCGCACGATGCATCCAAAACGGCTCAACGTGCATCCAAGACGGCCTAAGATGGCCTCAAGCTGGCCCAAGACTGCCCAAGAACCACCCAGTAGGCCTCCAAGACGGCACAAGAGGCCTCTGAGAGGATCGCCAGGAAGGCCAGAAGAGGCCAGCATCATTAATTTCCGAGAGGTTTTGACAGATTTGGGCATTTGCTTCTTCTCGGCCTTCCGACGGCCGAAGATGGCCCACGAAGCCCCCAAGATCGTCCCAATAGCGCCCAAGAGGCCCCCAAGATGGCCCCATCACGGCACACGAGGCCCCTAAGACGGTCCCAAGAGACCCCCAAAATGGCCCCATCACGGCACAGGGGGCCCCCAATACGGTCCCAAGAGGCCCCTAAGATGGCCTCCAAGACGGTCAACATTGCCCAAACGTTGCCCCAAGAGAGCCCAAGATGGCCTCAAAATGTCTCCAAGACGGCTCAAGATGTATCTAAGTCTGCCTAAGATGGCCTTATGATGGCCCAAGGCGGCCTAAGAGCACGCCAAGAGGCCTCCAAGACGGCCCAAGAGGCCTCCAAGAGGACCTCCAGGGAGGCCCGAAGAGACCAACTCCATTTATTGGTTATAGGTTTGGGGATACTTTTGGCATTTGCTTCTTGTCGGCTCTCTGGCAGCCCAAGACAAGGGGCCCCCAAGATCGCCCCATGACGGCCCAATATGCCCCCAAGATGGCTCCAAGAGGGCCCCAGCACGGCCCCAGATGGCCACGACTGCCTCCAAGATGGCCGCAGATGACCCCAAGATGGCCCAAGAAGCGCCCAAGAGGCATCCAAGGCGGCCGAAGAGGAAGGCCAGACGAAGCCATTATCACTGATCCCCGAACGGTTTCGACGTACTTTTGCACGTACTTCTTTTCGGCCGCCTTCCAACGGCCGAAGGCGGCCCAAGAGGCCACCAAGATGGCCCCAAGATCGCCCGAGAAGCCTCCAAGATGACCACATGGCGGCCCAAGAGGCCCCCAAGACGGCCCCAATAGGGCCTCTAAGACGGCCCTGAAGCGCCCCAAGAGGGTCCCAAGTCGATTCAAAGATGCCCCCAAGACGGCTTCTGACGGCGTCAGACCAGCCAGGATTGCCCTCCCCAAGGCCCGCAAGAGGCTCAAGGAGGCTTCCACGAGGCCCCTCTGGGAGCTCCCAGGAGGCCCCAAGAGCGCCCTAAGAGGCAAGATGCCTCTTCCTCCAAGTGTTCCCCGAGAAATTTCCAAAGCGAATGGGGTAATGCATAGTCCGATAATTTGGCCAAGCTGGGGCCAAACGTTTGGCCACAGAGGCGCTTCCCCCAAAGGCCCCCAAGAGGCCCAAGGAGGCCCCCAAGAGGCCTCTAAGAAACTCTTAGGGAACTCCCAGGCAGCCCCAGGTGCCGCAAGAGGCTTCTGAGAGGCCTCCTCCTCTTGCTCCTCTCCTTCCTTATCTTCCTATTCCTCCTCTTCCTCCTCCTCTGTTGTTCCTTCTCTTCTTCCTCCTCCCCCTCCCTCTCCTGATTCTCCTGCGAAATCCCCCAAGTGTTTCCGTTTCCAGGGTGGCTGATGCCGTCGGGCTCCCAGTGTTTACCCTTCTCGCACGCGCTGATTCCAGTGCTGCAGCTGATGACGTTGGGCCTCAAACATGGCCTCCCGCATCTCGCTCAGCAGCGCCAGGGCCCGCTGCCACTGCTCGCCCTTCTCGCACGCAGTGATCCCAGCGCTGTAGCTGATGACGTTGCGCTCCAACGTCGCCTCCCACATCTCGGCCAGCAGCGCCAGCGCCCGCTGCCACTGCTCGCCCTTCTCGCACGCGCGGATCCCAGCATTGTAGCTGACTAGGGCTGACCCGCGGCCTTCTGGCCGTGGAATCTGCCTGCCATGGCGTGGATGTGGAAGTGGAGCGTCTCCGGGGCCTCGCAGGCGAGGGGAGGTTGGAGGAGACGGCGTGGATGGAGGAGGTGGCCGCTGGAGGGGGAGGTGGGCGAGGGATGCAGGCAAGCAGGCCTGAAGGCAGGAACGCGATGGTAGAGGCGGCGTCAGTGGAAGCACACCCATGCAGGCATGACATGGTGTGGACAGAAACTGTTTCTCACGCCGCAGTATGTGTTCATCATAGCTTCTGCGGGGAGGGTAGCCGTGATAATTGTATCTGCTCCTCGCCGGGGCCGAATGCTTATTTTATCTGGTAGTGTGGTGACAATGGGGCCGGTGGGCGCGGCCTAAGAGGCCCGCAAGAGGGCGGCGAGACGGCCCAAAAGGTCTCCAGTACGGGCCACGAAGCTTCTTAAACGGCCCCAGAGGGCTCCACGAACTCCCTAAGTCGGGCCCCAGTGCGAGGACACGAATCGGCCTTTCGAGCGCACCGCCCCAAGACGTCCCCAAGAAGCCCCTCAGACGACGCTGGAAGTTCGACGCTCCCCAAGAGAGAAGGGTCCAAGGCCTCTTGGGGGCCGTTAAGGGGCCTCTTTTCGGTTTCCTGGGGGTCTCTCGGGGCCCTCTTGGGCCGTCTTGAGTACCTCTTGGGCTGTCTTTGGGTGATGTGGGGCCGTCTCGGGCGCCTCTCGGACCATCTTGAGGCCGTCTTGGGGCCATCTTGGGCCGATCTTGGCCGCTTTTGGGGCTGTCTTGGATGTTTCTTGGGCTGTCTCGGGCGCTTCTGGAGCCGTCCCGGGGCCGTCTCGGGCCGTTTTGGGTGGGGCGATCTGGGGGCCTGTACAGTCGTCTGGGAGACTGTGCAGATGGAAAGGCTTGGAGACGGGGCGGTGGGGGCCGGCACAGCCATCTTGGAGACGGGGCGCTGGGGCCGTCTAGGGTTATTATGAACTGTTCTTGGGGCTGTCTTGCGTGCGTCTGATGCCGTCTGTGGGGCTTTTGGGGGCTCTCCTGGGGGCCTCTGAGCGCGTCTTCGGGCGAGCTGGGGGCCTGAGTAGCCGTCTTGGCCTCCGTCTTGGGCGCTAGGACGAAAAAACAAGATTCCCGTCGGGAATGGGACGATTTTGGCCTCTCGGGGCTCTTGTGGAGGCCCTTCTAAGCCATCTTGGGCCTGGCCGTGGGGGCCTCTGAGGCTGTCCTGGGGCTCCCATGGGTGCTCTGAAGCTGTCTTGGGTGCGTCTTGGGCCGTCTCGGGTGCCTCTGGAGCCGTTCCGGGGCCGTGTGGGTCCGTTTGGGGGCCCTCCTTGGGGCCTCTGGGCCCGTCTTGGGGCGAGCTGGGGGGCCCTGATAGAAGATATAATGAAAATGTGCGATTCCCGTTGGGAATGGGGCGATTTTGGCCTCTTGGGGCTCTCCTGGAAGCTCCTGGTGGGAGCCTCCTGGCCTGCCTTGGGAGCCCCTGGGGCTGTCTTGGGGCTTCCAAGGGTGCTCTGAGGCCGTCTTGACGCCCCCTGGAGCCTCTCGGAGCCGTCCCGTGGGCTATTATGAACTGCTCTTGGGGCTGTCTTGGGTGCGTCTTGGGCCGTCTGGGGCGCCTCTGGAGCCGTCCCGGGGCCGCCTCGGGCCGTCTGGGGGCCCTCCTGGGGTGCTCTGGGGACGTCTTGGGGCGAGCTGGGGGCCTGTAAAGCCGTCTTGGACGCGGTGAAGACGAAAAGAGCGAGCATATCAAGGAGCCTCCTGGCCTGCCTTGGAGGCCTCTGGGGCCGACCTGGGGCTCGGTTAGGTCCCTCTTGGTCTGTCCGGGCGCTCTCGTGGGTGTCTCTGAGCCGTCTCGGAGCGGCCCGGGGGCTCGTAGGGCGGCCCGGAGGGCCCGGCCAGTCTTTCAAGACAGAGGACCGCACGCAAAGATCGCTGCATTGTAGAAGAGACTATGGCTGACCCGTGGACTTCGTCCACGTTTGCCAGCGTGGACAGTGTGGGTGTGTTGCTGGATGGCTGCGTACTGCATGCTGGATTGCTTGACGATTGCTTGTGCCGTGCGAAGCTTCCGAGAAGACAAACATCCAAGGCCCTCGCAATGTCGTCCAAGACGGTCCTTTTGGGTCTGAGAGACGCCTCTCGCCTCTCGTGGGCACCTCTCTCGTGGTAGCAATTCGGAAGGCTCGTAGGGCCTCATGGGAGCCGTTTGGGAGCCTCTGGGAGTCTCTTGGGAGCCTCTTGGGGGTCTGCCGGGGCCCGTCGGGGGCCCCGTGGGGCCTCCTGGAGGCCTCTTGGGGTCTCCTGGGGCCTTCTGAAGGCGGATACCTGCATATTTTAATCTGTGGTCCCTCTCTTGGGCCTCCCTTGAGGCTTTCTTGGTGGCATTTTGGACTCCTGCGCGCCTCTTGGGCCGTCATGGGGCCCTCTTGGGCAGTCTTGGAGCGGTCTTGGGGGCCTCTTGGGCGGTCTTCGAGCGTCGGGAGGCCGACAAAGAGAGACCGCAAGAAACATCGAACAACTAATGAAATTCAGCAATTTTTGCCTCTCGGAACCCTCTTGAGAGGCCTCTTGGGCCGTCTTGGAGATCTCTTGGGCCGTCCTTGGGCCATCTTGGGCGTCTGGGCCCGATCATTGGGCGTCTCGGGGCACTCTTGGGCCGTCTTGGGGGCGTCTTGGGGCCCTCTTGGCCCGTCTTGAGGTTTCCCTGGGCGGCCTGGGGCGGCCTGGGGCCAGCCCGAGGGCGCCCCCTCGCCATTCTGGCACGCGGCTCCCCAGGCGTTGAGTATAGACTAGGGCTGAACCGTGGACTCCGTCCACGACGGCTTTCTGGAATGGTTCTCGGAGGAACGGCGGAGATGGTGCCGGAAACCTATGAGCACGGCGGCGGCAGCGAGCCCGCGTCTTCGTGTCCGAGCCCTTGCTCGGGACCCTGTGGGGAAGCTTCTGGGGAGGTCTCATGGAGAACCTTGGAGATCTGTCGGGCCGGCTTGGACCAATGTTGGACCAATCTCGAGCGTCTGTGGCACATCTGGGGGCCTGTTGAGCCGACTTGTGGCCCTTTAGGCCTGTCTCGGGGCGCTCTTTGGGTCCCTTTTCGGCCGCCTGGGTGCCGTGTTGGGACCGTCTTGGGCGGTCGTGGATCGCCTGGAAGCGGAGAAGGCGAGCACCGCAAAAACCCTGCTAGAAGGCATGAAAATCAATGTTTTCTCCTAATCGGGGCCCTCTGGGGAAGCTTCCAAGGAGGGCTCTCGGAACACCTTCGAGACCTCTCGGGCCGGCTTGGGCCAACCTTTGGCCAACCTTGAGCGTCGCAGGCCCACCTGGGGGACTGTTGAGCAGACTTGGAGGCCCTCTGGGCCCGTCTTGGGGCTCTCTTGCGGGACTCTTCGGCCGTCTTGGAGGCGTCTTGGGAACGTCTTGGGGTGTGGATCGTGTGGAAGCCGGCCGAAAGGCGAGCACGGCAAAAACCATGCAAAAAAACAATGAAAAACAGTGTTTTTTCCTGCTCGGGACCCTCTGGGGAAGCTTCCCGGGAGGTCTGGGCGGCCCGGGGCGGCCCGGGGCCAGCCTCTGGGGGCCTGTTGAGCAGACTTTGAGGCCCTCTGGGCCCGTCTTGGGGCTCTCTTGGGGGCCTCTTCGGCCGTCTTGGAGGCGTCTTGGGAGTCTGGAGGCCGTCTGAGGTGTTCTCGGGGCCGTCTGGGGGTTGCCTGGGTCCGCCTTGGGCGTCTCTGGAGCAGTCTCGGCAGCTGTCTAGCGGTTGTCTTGGGCCCGTCCTTAGCCGCTCTTGAGGCTGTCTTGGGTACCCCGTGGGCTGCCAGGGGCGCCTCAGGAGCTGTCCTAGGGCCATCTTGGACCTCTGTATGGCCGTCTTGGGAGCTATGAAGAGGGTAAGCCTGGGAACTGCCAAAATGTACGTGTCCCCCAGGGAATGGGACGATTTTTTAGTGTTCGGGCTCTCTTGGGGCTCGTCGTGGAGCCCACTTGGAGCGTTTTGGAAGGCTCTTGGGCCGTCTAGAGGCCGTCTGAGGCGTTCTCGGGGCCGTCTGGGGGTTGCCTGGGGCAACCTTGGGAGTCTCTGGAGCAGTCTGGGCACCCCCTGGGGCTCGTCTTGGGCCTTCCTGGGCCGTCGAGTCTGTCTTGGGTACCCCGCGGGCCGCCAGGGGCGCCTCAGGAGCCGAGTCTTGGGCCCACATGGGAGCATCAGAGGGCGATCTTGGGGGCCTCCATGGCCGTCGTGGACGCGTCGGAGACGAAAAGCACGAGAATGCGTCACATATGCGTTTCCGTCGGGAATGGGATGATTTTGGCCTCTTAGGGCTCTCCTGGGAGGTCCTCCAGGGCCGTCTTGGGAGCCTCTTGGCCTGCCTTGGAGGCTTCTGGGGCCGTCGAGGCGGCCCCTTGAGCGGTTCGGAGCCATCTGTGGGCCGTCGGGGCGGCCTCTTGAGCGTCTCGTAATCGTCCTTGGAGTCGTCTGGGGGGGACTCTCTGGGCCGACTGCGCTTTCCCCGTGGCCCGCCTTTCCCGCACGCGCGGGCCCCTGCATTGTAATAGAGACTAGGGCTAACCCGTGGACTACTTCCACTTGCGGGGTGAAGGGATGCTGCCGCGAGGCGAGCAGGATGAATGGCGTCACATTTGCCTGCCACATATCGCTGAGCTGCGGGGGCGT